ATTAAACGACTACGCATAGTGATCAAATGGGCATAACGATTACGCATAGAAATCAGGCAAGCATAGTGATCATGCAGAGATTAAACGACCACGCATAATAGCAGTCAGTAATTGAGGAAGCTATTAGAGTATCGCTTAATAAATTAAGATCTTATTATGCCAGAAGTGATAGTCCTATGTACGCGGTAACTACCTTATTAGATCCAAGATTAAAAAAGGCATATTATGAAAAAAATAAATGGGATAAAGTTTGGATTGATTGGGCAATTGTATGTTTAAATGAAGTATATGATAGTTATGATGATATTGTAGTACCAAATACTGATACTTCTAGCGATACTTCTCTTGGCCGGGTTTTCAAGAATCTTCACTCTGAAAACGAAATTGATTTTTATTTAAATAGTTCTGTAGAACATGATAGTATAGATGTATTTTAATGGTGAAAAATGCATGTCAAAGCATTTCCCAAATTAACGATTATGGCACGTGATTACCTTGCTATACCTGCATCGAGTGCTTCATCTGAGAGACTGTTTTCAAGAGGCTCTAATATGGATACTAAAAAGCGTGGATCGCTTAATCCAGAAACAATTCAAAAAGCAATTGCTCTTTGTGATTGGATAGACTGAAAAGAATATATATTATTATTGTTATATTGTACTATATATGGTATATATATATATAGAATTATCATTGTATTATAGTATATATATTTATTATTTCATGTAATATTATAATAAAACTATCAAATTTAACTTGTAATCCTAATTTTACCAATACTACTTTCATAGTCAATATTATAGTAGAATCGTCATTAGTAATTCTCTTAATACACATATAAATTATATTATCAGATTATAATATTCTACATTATTTATTCAATTTTTAAATCTGCAAATGATTCTTCTTTTTACCCGTGATTATTAGTGCTATTAATTTTTGAAATGATTTCTAATACTATTTAGATCCAAACAATTTCGTACCCACGATTATCTAATTCTATCTACTTCAATTTCTAATGATTTATTTAAATCCGCAAGTGATTCCTCATATTTACCCATTTCTTAATAAGTTAATCCACAATTATTTAATGCTGTTACATTACTTGGGACGATTTCTAATACCCTATTTAGACATGAAAGTAATTCCTTATATTTATTATTTTGAAAGTCAATACATGATTTCTAATGCCACTACTTATCTGGTTTAATTTCTAATGATTCATTTAAATCTATACGTTTACCTCTTAACAAATTAATCCATAACGATTTCATTCTTCATAACTATCTAATTTTAAAAAAAAAGCTGGCATACCAGTAAGACCCAAAAGAAACAAACAATGATAGCCCGTGGTAGATATTTACCCGACCTGTCAAGAAATAAGAAGAAAAGGGCTTGAAAATTAAATTAAATAACATACAAACAAAAGAATTCAATGAAGCAACAAAAAAAAAAATGTGAACTGTTATACTTTCCAACCAATGAAGAGTCAAAGGTGCATTCACATAGTTTCAAGGCTGAAGTTACTATACTGCATTCTAAGAAGCCACTCATTAAACAAAGAACCTAAACTATTCTTATAGAAAAGAAGAAGTAGCTTGTAATAGATATTTACCCAAACCTGTCAAGAAATAAGAAGAAAAGGGCTTGAAAATTAAATTAAATAGCATACAAACAAAAGAATTCAATGAAGCGACAAAAAAAAAAGTGAATGTCATACTTTCCAACCAACGAAGAGCCAAGGCTGAAATTACTGTACTGCATTCTAAGAAGCTATTCATTAAACAAAGAACCTAAACTATTCTTGTAGAAAAGATGGAATAGCTTGTGATAGATATTTACCCGAACCTGTCAAGAAATAAGAAAGAAAAGGGCTTGAAAATTAAATTCAAATAGCATACCAACAGAAGAATTCAATGAAGCGACAAAAAAAAAAAAAAGTGAATATCATACTTTCCAACCAACGAAGAGCCAAGGCTAAAATTACTGTACTGCATCCCAAGAAGCCATTCATTAAACAAAGAACCTAA